AGTAGGCTGTTTACAATGTTCAGTTTGATATGGAGGAAAATGACAGTTTGACTGGATAAATCCTAATTGACGATGAGAAATAACTACAAGTTATACTGATGGTTTCAATTTTTGTTTTAGAGCATGCTCTAATACAAAAAGTTCACCAAGTGCTTTAATAGACCTTCCCTAGTTATGGGTCATTAAAAACTATCCATGTAAATCTACCCCTTCATCTTCTGTAGAGAAGTCAAGTGATCTTTGATTTTCCATCAGAAGATTTGCTGGGACCTTAGGATTCATGGAACATCATTCCCTTCTGCAACTGTGTCCGATTCCTTCTCTTCCTTCAGGATCAGAGTTTACTTTAACTGGAAATTCTTCCCTCATTTTACAAGTTGTTCGTTCTCTTCCTCAGTTGTTCATACAGTGTGTGTCTCTGTCTGTGTGTGTGTTTGGGGGCCACTCCTGGTGGTGTGCAAGGCTCGCTCCAAGCTTGCACTTTGGGTCACCCCGAGTGGAGTCTGGGAACCTTAACAGAGCCTGGTATCAAACCTGCCTGGGCTATGTACAAGGAAGTGTCTTACCCACTCTAGTATCACCCAGCCCCAAGTTTGTTTTGTAAAGGGGTTTTCAGCAGTACAAACACTTCACTATTTTGTTTGCGTGCTTTTGTTGTTGTTGTTGTTGTTGTTTACTGAGGAAGAACTTGGACCATTGTTTGTCACCTAGGCATAAAGCAGAACCTAATCTATGGTTCAGGTTGTTAGACAAATGACTGAGTGAATGAGCTCATGTAGATTCCAGGTCTGTGCCTGAAATGAAATAGAAAGCTCACCTCACTTCCATAAAGCACAAAATGATTGAGTTGGCCAGACCTGCATGAATTTGAGGAAAATTTAGGTTAAAATGAAAGTTACAAGTTCATCTTTGTTACTCTCTGGTCTGTCTATCTAGAGCGGGGCTTTTGTTGAGAGGAGGTCTATAAACCCTGGAGACCCAGAACTTTGTCAGAAGAAGAATTTACAGAACAGATTAGGTTTTTCTAGCGAGATTTCTTGAGGTCCAACATATTTTCTTCTGCTCCTGCAGGCTGGTGCTGAAGCTATCAGAATTCTCAGGGGACACACAGGCTGTTCCCAAATGACCTTTACTACACAAATTTCTTTATGCTCTCACCTGGAAAAAAGAAAACAAAAACCCGACTTTGACATCCTTCTATTTCCTGTTACCCCACCAAATAGGGCAGTGCCTAACCAGCCTCCTCTCCTAGCAGAGAGCTGAGTTTTTGTCTGAAATCTTTGAGTTTCAAAAATAAATAACATTTATCTCTTCCTGGTCTATGTCCCAGATGTCTCTTTATTGAGTTCACAGAATACAAATGGAAAAAGGTTATTACCAGACACAAGTGTTTGAAATGAAAATCAAACCTAATACATAGACTAAGACAACTGAAATAAGGAATATAATATTTATAAAACCGGGTAGAAGGTTGCAATCATTGCTCTAAAATAAAGCATTAAAAATTAATTCAGAGCAAACCCTTCTGTGCCACAGCACACCTCTCTTTCATTAGGAGAACACTGCTGCAAGCTTCTCTAGAATTAGTGCCACAAATAGGTAAATAGCTCGTAGGAACTGAGTGTTCTGTAAACTATAAAAGATTGATCTGAGACATGACTTAGCACTATCTTTAGTATTAAACCAATACAGGCCTTTAATTTCCAACAGTTAATTATGACTTATGCAGTTTCTCTACCTTTTTTGCACTCGGTCATTATTAGGAAAGTTTCATTCACATGAATCTCGCTTATCTTCTAGGGTTCAATCCAATGGGGTTGTATCATTTGATGAGTTCACATGTTGTGCAATATTAGTATCAGGAACTGTGGATGCCAGTTGCAAGTTATACTTTTACAATATGCAGATACGTTCATTCAGAAACATTTGGTTCACAGCTGAAAACGCTTTTCTTTTTCGTCTTCTATTACAACCTACTACTGCCACTGTTACCGTTATCAACATCAGGTCATTTTCTTCTCTAACCCATGGAGGAGAACAAAGACAATGCTGGTAATAGCTCTGCATTTACTACTGAGATGTGATTTTTTCTTCTTGCCCAATTTATACCGTTCATCTGAAGCTCAGCCCAAGAATAACTTTGTAACATCTAAACCCTATTGATATTTTAATAGTTTCACATCAAAATTTTCCAGTTCCAATGGACTGATACACTGCTTTGTCCCATGGGGAAACTTCTTGTGTTCCATTAAGTGGGGGAGCCAGAAACAATGGGATATCCAAAAAGTGACTCTGAGATGAAGGGTGGAGGCAGCAGCTTCAAATGAGCACAGTAAGTGGGTGTTTAACCTTTGACCAACGCTGACGGTCTTCTTTAGTCTTTGAGACCAAGAGCAAGCTGTTATGATTCAATAAAAAAGAATAAAGAAACTGTTTAAAGCCTTGCTGAGTATGTCCTGGGAATTAAAGCATATGGCAAGGATAAGGAAAAAAGATTTTCCTTATGCTAATGACCCTTGATGTCTGAAATAAATTAGATCCATTAGAGTTTATGCTCAATAAAAGAAAGACTTTAAGCACTCCAAAGTTAGTGACTCGAGACCAGTTTTTGCTCTGAAATTCAATCTGCCTACTTATTAATTCTCCGTGAGGCTCCTGAGCAGACAGGAGGTACGGCCTCAGGATTCTGGGCTGGACCAGGGGTCGGGTGATCACAGGTTCCTTTCTCTTTTCTTTTAATTTAGCCATCCTCATGTTGCTTCCTTTGTTTCCATCATTCATTTGTTTTTGCTTCCATTTTTGTTTTATATTTTCTTTCTTTTCAAGGTTTCATTTATCCCATTTCAACTGAGCAGAGAACCCAGAATGAATATGGATTTTCTTGTAAGTTTGATGTTTGGTTTTTTATGTTGCTGAATAATCATTCAATGCCATTGCCCCCAGTTCAAGTTTACCTTTCTTTGGATCGCAGATGTGCGCAGGGGAAAGAGCCACCTGATATATTCTAATACGGAAAAGCAAATTAGATTTTCACGCTGAAGAGAAGAAAAGGTTATTTCAAGTATCTGGCAGCTTGAAAAATCTCTGTCTGCCGCCGGAAACTGAGTCCCAGTGGCTGGAATATTCTGATATCAATAATAGGCAGGGTTCAAATGCTAAGAATAAAGGGGAGCGAACATGCGTCTTTATTGTGTTAGAGCTGGTGAATGTTGAACAAATAATTATGGCTTGGTAAAGTAAAATATGAAGGATTCAGCTCTAGGATTTGGACCAGAATTCAGACAGGGCCAGAGGAACTAAATAATGCCCAGCTGCTTTGCAAGCAGTCTCCCGAAGCAGGAGTGTTGGGTGCCCTGGGTTCTGAAAACATTTGTCGGTAGAGACTCGATTGGAGGGAACGTGGAGACTCTAGAATCTAATTCTGGAAGAGAGAAGTTAAAAAACGAAAAAGAGCCACTTCACATAGAGTGAATTTAAACACACATTTCTCAAAGGGATAGACAGTCTGATTTTCAGCAGGAAAATGCTTCCTATTGTCATTTTGTCGCGTGTCTAAACCAGCTGAGATGGCTGAGCAGAGCCGCCCCCCACGCTGGGACCGAGAGACCTTAAAAGCACTTGGGCCCCCTGGAAACCAGTGCCCACCCCACACGCACAAAGGTAGACTTGTCCATAATATCGAGCATGAAAGGGTGGCTTTTGGCCACTTGGAATCCAAGTTTGGTCGTGTCCTGTCCAGTGAGTACAGCAACTCCTGCTAACTTTGCTGGAGACATCTGTGGGTCATGGAGGACTGGACACAGGCTTGGAGATGCCGGTGGGGATGAGGGCAGGTTTCATTCTGTTTGGTTGGTTTTAATTGTCAGCACCTGTCACCTTTGGCTCCTGATCAAAGTGTAGCCCGTGCCACCAAGGCAACATTCTGAGAATGTTCCTCTCGCTGTACCAGAAACAGACCTTCTGGCCACACGCTGTGCGGGACAAATGTTTAATTGCTTGCTGGGGTCCCGTGACCTTTCTGATCACTGAACCAACCTGCATCTCACTCTCTAGACTGGGGTGCTGTTTTCTAGCAATGAGGACTTCAAATGTAAATCTCTGAAAAAGAAATTGTGAGGAGCTCAGCCTTCTCTGAGGTAGAACTGAATCTCTGTCAAAATTCCAAAGTTAATAGCACTGACCTCTGCCCCCTGGATCCGGGTCTTCTGAAAGCACACCTTTCAGGCCCGGCACGACTGTTTTGGACATACCCTGTGCTGGGTTAGACCTTCCCCGCCAACTCTTTGTCATTTCGGAGAAGCTAAGAGGACTGAGGGGGGCTGGAGCAATAGCACAGTGGGGAAAGCGTCTGCCTTGCATGCAGCCAACCCGGGCTTGACTTCCAGCATCCCATATGGTCTCCTGAGCACTGCCAGGAGTAATTCCTGAGTTCAGAGCCAGGAGTAACCCTTGTGCATAGCCGAGTGTGACCCAAAAAGAAAAAAAAAAAAAGAGAGAGAGAGAGCGAGAGAAGAACTATGGAGCGTGAATTTACAAGTTGGAATAATATTTAGGAAAGTCTTCTGGTTCAATAAATGTGCATATTCAGAGCATACCAGCGATCTCTAATGGAGGGTTTATGTGTTATAAAAAATATTAGTAAGTTCAAAAGCTTGTTTCAAATTTTTTCCATCCAGAATTGGCGATATGTTTTTCTCTCTGTGGTCTGGAATTGAATTTAGCTCCAGGTATTTTAATGCCCCCGATGAATCGGTCTGTTATGCTTCCCAGTGTAAGATAGATTAGTTAGTAGATGAGTGAAGGGTGAGAAAGAGGAAAGAAATCAGAGATAACTTTTTGCCAGGAGGCTACACAGATTTATATGATTTTTTTAAAAATGCATTTGAAATTAACCTATAAAAAAGTAGATAGCTATTTAGAAAAACTACACAATAAGCCTGTGTGTGGGGCGGGCGCGGGGAGATTCCTCTCACCGTGGGGCCACGTTTCCTTCCCTCCAGCTGCGCCTGACTCGGACGACGTGGCACTGTACGTGGGCATCGTGATCGCCGTGATCGTCTGCCTGGCCATTTCCGCCGCCGTGGCCCTGTTTGTGTATCGGAAGAATCACCGTGACTTTGAGTCGGATATTATTGACTCCTCAGCTCTCAATGGAGGCTTCCAGCCTGTGAACATCAAAGCAGCAAGACAAGGTCAGCGAGCGTTGCACCCACCCGGAGACGGGTGTGCGGCAGTGGGGCCCTGGGCTGGGGAGGTGTGGAGTCCCTCCACCCCGCTCACCGGGGAGACCGGCCAGGAAGAGTAGGGATGCGATCCGTCTTTCTAGCTGCCGAATGAACTTCCTTTATGCAGCAAGGCAGAGTGGGAGAGGGAGAGGGAAGAGAGGCTGGGTCCCCCTGCTGTGACAGCCGCCTCTTATGCTCGGTACCTCCCATTTGAACTAGGACCTGACTGATTCTCAGCACTTCCTGCCCCGCTCAGGGACAGCGGGTGACCCCTGACACCCCCTGCTCCAAGATAGACCAAGTCACCTGCCCTAGCACTGAATGTAGAGTCTGGTCGAACTGACTGCACATCAACAAAGTGGCCTCCAGGTTCCTGAGCACTGGTAGTGAGCCCCTGACTGTGTACTCATGCACAAACACACACGCACACGCACACACATGCACACGTGCAAGCACACACTTGTACACACACAAGCACACACATGCATGCACGTGCACACACGCACACACATGCACACACACTCACGCGCACACAAAAGCACACAGGCACATACACATGCATGAACATGCATACACACATGCGAACACACGGGCACACACACATACACACAAGCACACACACACAGTTGGTGAGCTGATTTCTTGAGTTTGTCTCTCCTCCTTCCGGATGAACAGTGTCATGTTGCAATAAACTGAAAATGAACGGAAACCCAGACCAGGGAGAACAGTACGTAAAAGTCACCTGGACGGGGTCTCTGTCTATGAATGAGGTCTCTGGGATAGATAAGTAGCTTATGAACAAGTAAATACCTTATCAACAATCACTGTAACGTTGAGACAAAATACGAAATCAACTTGTCTACTTATTTATAGATCACGATCACGATCACGACCATCCTGTTGTTCGTTGATTGCCTCGAGCAGGTACCAGTAACGTCTTCTTCGTCCTAGCCCTGAGGTTTTCGAAAGTGCCATATTCAAGGCTCTTTCAGGGTTAGGAGAATGAGACCCATCATTGTTACTGGGATTTGGCATATTGGGTATGCCACGGGGAGTTGGGCAGACTCTGCCGTGTGGGTAGTTTACATTCGGTAGCCTGCCAGGTTGTCCAAAGTATGAATGAGATAATAAAAGCGTATTTATAGCCAATAGCAAAATGAACCCACATTCATCTCGTTGCCTGATTTTCATCAGACCTAGGTACCACTACATCTTGGGTATTCTCTGAGTTGCTTTACCACTGGCTTAGAAGGTGCTGGCTAAAAGAACTGCTTAGAGGAAGGCCGTGACGGGACTTGCTTCTTCTTCCCTCCTCAGACCTCCTGACCGTGCCCCCAGACCTCACGTCGGCCGCAGCCATGTACCGGGGACCCGTGTATGCACTGCATGACGTCTCCGACAAGATCCCCATGACCAACTCTCCGATCCTGGACCCACTGCCAAGCTTGAAAATCAAAGTCTACAACACCTCCGGGGCTGTCACCCCCCAGGACGAACTGTCCGAGTTTGCGTCCAAACTGTCCCCGCAGATGACCCAGTCCTTGCTGGAGAATGAGGCCCTCAACCTGAAGGCCCACAGCCTGGCAAGGCAGACGGACCCATCTTGCACTGCGTTTGGCACCTTCAACTCCCTCGGGGGGCACCTCATCGTTCCCAATTCAGGTAATTCCACAGGTGCAAGTGGCCAGGCCAAGCCTGGAAGTGCGTTCTGTCCGTTTGTCTTTGTCAGACCTGAGAGTTCCGTGGAAGTCTGTCAAACCCGAGCCTTCGGGTCGGAACCAAATGGCACTTCAGACAAAATCAGTGAAACCATTTTCCCTCTCCAAAACAACTCGGGGGATGCTTCCTTTAGACACGCTTCTCCCCCGCTGCCTCCGGGCACAGTCTGGAATTGTCTGTGACCTTTTCACTTGAGCCTCAGCAGACAGGATCAAGCCAGCGGCATCCCCACCACCATCACACTTAAAAGGACAAATTAATTAGAAAAAGGACCCGTTGTCTCACTCCCAATTTATTACAGGAAGCAGTATTTCAGAGGACTCGTTTTTAGGGGATCAGGGGACATCCTAATAGACACAAAATTTTATTTAATTAACAATTATGACACTCTTCAACCTCAAGGTTTGACCTGATGTATCTGTCTAGAATCAAAGTTTCATCATGTAAAGCTTTTGTAACATTATCTAGTATCTACTGTGAAAATGTAGGCCTCAGAGAAGTCTTAAATGGTAAGTAAATTTAGTGACTGCGAGGTTTGATTAAAATACGGTAGTTACCAATCCAGTAGTCATTAATCCAATAGTTTCAAGCCCTGTACATGGGTTTGAAACTACTGTCCATAATAAGGTGAATGAATTCTTTCTTTGGGTCTCGTTATTGTGTACACATTGCAATAAAAAGCAGTTTGCTTGACCTGAAGTTTTCATAAGGAAATAATACGTTCAGTTCTTTGCTGCAAGAACCAAGTCCTCAGGGCTGAGCACACACTGGTCTTTAGTTCTTTCTCTTGGGAGTTTTCATCACATGACTTTAAATGTACATTTTAATAAGTCAAATTATTAAGTGGACATCATTTTTCCCTTTCCTAATACATTCCACATAGTCATTTTTAGAATACTTTTGTCTCAACTCTTTTTCATTCATTCTCATACTATTGTACAATACACTTTAAAATCATTATAACTATAAATGAGATTTAAAAGTCTATTAGTCTATTAAACATCTTTTATTGTTTATTTGGCGTTTGAACATTGCACTTCTAAAAATTTTTAGTCTTTTTTAAGTCAGCTTTTTGAATGACAGTCACGGATTCTTTCTTTTCCATTTCTACCTGCCACCTTTCCAAATAGGAACTATTGTGAAGAATTCTTTAGTGGAAAAGAGAGCTTTGTATGCAGTGGACAGTGGCCGCTTACATATTTTATTTAATAAGGTGATAATGGTTACCTTGTAGGTGTCAGCTCTTACTCTCCTTTACAACATAATCCTCTTGCATCCTTATAATAAGCACAAAAGTACATTTGCTTTTTCCCATTAAAGAAAACCGCAGTTTGCTAGGCACCAGTGTGGTCTTTCTGCACCCGCAGCTGCCACCCCAAGGCACGCCAAAGCACCACACTCCTCGGCCACGCAGCCGGTTACACCAGGGCCTTTGAATCACTTTTTCCTCCTAACTCTCTGTTCCTTAATCTTGAGACTTTCCAGTGGTGGTCAGGTTGTTTTCATCATTGCCCTGTGCTCAGTTGGTATATTACATTTCCTCACTAATTAAATCATAAGCTATTCAAAGACAAGAAAACCAGCTTTTACTTCTTGCATTCACAACACCACAGCAAGATGCTCCATACATTTTTCATGAATTGAATTAAACAACATTTATTAGCATCAAATCACGGATCCAGATATGTGCATGCTGTCCCCGCCCTAATTATCTTTGTGTTGCTGGTGTAAGAACCATGCCCGCTTAAGAACCATGCCCACATAAGAACCATGCCCACGTAAGAACCATGCCCACATAAGAACCATGCCCACGTAAGAACCATGCCCACATAAGAACCATGCCCGCATAAGAACCATGACTGTGGGTCTCACAGAGACCTCAGGACACTGTCACTGTCTTCATCAGCAACTTAGTCAAGCTCCGATTTCCCCAGACCCTGCAACATTAACTCTGAAGGTCAGACCTGTGTTGTTTTTGTTCGTTTTCTGGTTCACTCAGAGATCACTCCATCTGGCACTGGGAACTAGGTGAGGTGCCTGGAGTTGAAGATTCCTTGGTCCTGTGCAAGGCAAATTCTAGCCACCTCAGCAGCCATACAATCACCCCAGTCTTGCAGACCTTGTTTTAATAAATGATCCTGGGGATTCTGATGCAAACTTAAGTTCGAATCCCTGCTCTGGGCATGGTTAGCTCAGAACTGAGCTCAATCCAATGCCATGCTGCAAGTGAGTCAATTAACAATTAAATAAAAATGGAGCTGGGGCAATAGCACAGTGGTAGGGCATTTGCCTTGCACGCGGCAGACCCGGGTTCAATTCCCAGCATCCCATATGGTCCCCTGAGCACCGCCAGGGGTAATTCCTGAGCGCAGAGCCAGGAATAACCCCGGTGCATCTCCGGGTGTGACCCAAAAAGCAAAAAAAAAAAAAAAAATTGAATAAAAAGCTTTCTCAACTTGCTGTGAGAAAAAAGGAGCACTTGATGTATACTTTTCTAGAGCTTTGTCTGTGGAAAGTTCCTCACAAAACTCTCAGTTTGTTATGGAAAAACACTGATGCTAACCAGATATTTCAGAATAAAAATGTTTTGGATATTGTTGAGGTTAGCACCCTGACTTTGAAACTCTGGGAGATATTTTAATTAGAAATTATACCTCGCTACCGCTCTTTGAAATGCTAAGAGCTGTTGCTGGTTTTCCCCTACTTTACAAGGAAAACAACATTGAAACCATCTGTCCATTCCTTAACTAAATAAAACAAGAATGTAAAAATGACATCACCCTGTAAAGTACCTCCATAACAGCTCAGAGGGAACTCTGGTAAGGAAAAAAAAATGTCAGGAAGCAAAGGAAGTGACTGTGGCGATTTTCCTTTGTGGAAGAAAAAGTAGGCGTGCGCCTGCAGGTCAGAAAATCTCTTTGCCTTCTCTGGCCTCCAAGGGGGTCAGTAACGCTCCGTCTGACTCCTGCTCTTGCTTTTCTCTTTTGCTTTCCAGGAGTGAGCTTGCTGATTCCCACCGGGGCCATTCCCCAGGGGAGAGTCTACGAAATGTACGTGACTGTCCACAGGAAAGAAGCCATGAGGTAAATATGCCTCCTCGGGGGCACTTGGCTTTATCATGTCTGGCTTGGGTTGTCGCTTCTCTCCTTAAGATACAGAGAATAAGTGTGATTCCTTTGGTCTCTTGCGCGCCCTGTTTTCAGCCCAGTCTTATTCCCCTACGTTTATACAAAAGCTCAGCTTCTTCTTTTCTGTCATGGAAGCTTCTGGCTCTTGTGCAGAGCCTGCATGGGAACAGAAGGCTAGAGTGCTTTTCCCAAGTGGACATGTGGTCATCCTAGCTGGGAAAACCACCACCAGAAACGTGATCCATAAATGGTCCAAGCTGACACCTGGAGAAAAGCTTGTGAAATTCAGCCAGTTGTCATTACGGGGTTAAAGGTCACAGGAAAGCAGTGGCCTCTTGACCCTGACTTGGGGCCCCACCTCAGCCTCTAGCACTTTCCAGCACTTTCCTCTCTGCTGCCTCCACTCCTTCTCACTCCACCCCTTCGAAGCCCATCCGGCACTTTCCCATTGAGGCTCCCACTGATTAGGCCCACATCGATTCAAAGGACCTTGTTTCGAATTTCCCAGAATTGGGAAGCGCAAGTCCTTGTCAGGAAGAAGAGCCAGAGAGAGGAGCTTTGGGGTCCATGCTTCAATTTTCAGCTTGTCGTCTAGCGAGTCAAATACGGCCTTTCTTGATCGTGTCCCAGCGAACGTAGGTGTGCTCAGCCGTGCTTCAAAGACCGTCCTGCGGAATGCTCCTGAAGTCCCGAGATCGGAAAATGAAAGATTCCGCTGAAAGGAAGATGCTCACATGTAATTATCTTTGTTTTCCCCGAGAGGCTCGTCAGCACCGAGCTCTGACGACAGTGCTGCTGGAGTGACAAATGTACACCCAGGTTATCATTATAGCGCATTACGCCCCTCCCGGCCTCCCTTCCACCCGCGGAAAAGCATCCATTTCTGAGCCGCGTTCTTCAGGAGCCAAAAAACTCTTTTGTTCTGCGCTGGGGAGGAGTGGCTGGTATTGATAATGGGGAGGCCCGGAGCACTCTCTCCGTCAGTGTTGGACCCAGCCTGGTAAACACCCACCTGAGTGAGACGATAATACAATGCCCGCAGCGCTACTCACGCCCCAGACTCCAGCAACAGAAAATCACTACACTCGGATTTACTGACATCAAATATTCATGTTTTCATTCTCATGGCAAAGTAACGCCCACGGGCCCTCTGAGCACTCCTCCTTCTGCCCCCGCTGCCGGACCCCGAGAGCTGTCTTGTCCTCACTCTTGTTTGGAGTCAAGGTTGGTGCGGAGTGCCCCCTCCTTCCGGGCCTTTGCCAACACGGTCCTTTGGTTCCCTCAGGGACACTGGGCTTGTGCTTTGGCAGAAACTTTCCTGGTCTGCTCTTCTCCATTCCAAGGGCCTTGTCTCGCCTTCTGGGCTCTGCTGGAGCTGCGGACACCCCGTCCTTCCCTTGACTTTTTTACCCAGAGTTAGAGTTACAATTATCTGGCCGGGATAATTGTACATTTCAGATTTGGGGGAGGAGGGCGGGAAACAGGAAAACGCTAAAGCCAGACGCTTCCTGCTTTTGAGCCTAATGAAGAAGAGAAGCCTCGCTCTTGCCACTGCAACCTGAAGGCAGAACAGCAGGACCTCACCACTGAGTTTGGGCCTCATCACAGAGGCCTGTTAGTCGGGGAGCAAGGGGCTGTCGGGGTCTCCGAAGGAAAACGCACAAAAGGCCTTGGAACAGGGAGTGAACCCCAGAGCCCGGCCTGTGAGTGAATGTGCTGTCTCAGCTCGTGCTGATCCAGGGCAGCTGTGGAATGCCGCGTCCTTGGACAAGCCTCAGCGTGAGGACACAGTCCGGGTCCTCGCGTGTGGCCACAGCCCACCTGGAGCAGCACCGAGGGCTCAGGAACCAAGATGTGTGGGCCAGGCTGCCATGCAAGGACGCGTTCTCTCCCTCAGCCCCCGCTGGTCTGAGACCTTACTCCACTGCGGCCTCGTTTGGGAGGTAGAGACAACAAAGCTGTGGTCGGGAGTCCAGGGGCGCCATGGGGGGTTCCTGACCAGGCATGCTCCTGGCCCAGTGCTGGGCCCTGAATTAGCCAGGAGTCCTCAGGCTGTCCCTACCAGTCGGGGGAACCGTGTGATGCCCAAAATCCAACCCACCGGGGGCTCTGCAGGCAGCCTGTGTGCTGACCACTGACCCAGCCCCTAGTCCCGGATCTCTATACAGATGCTTCTTGCTGGTCACGCTGCCCCCCCGCCCCCCCCCCCCCCCCGTGTCCTCTCCTGATCAGAGTTGGAGCTTCCCTCGAGAAGTCCCTGCTGGTCTGTCAGATGGGATGTCACCTCGGTACCCCTGCCAGCAAACGCTGATGGTGCTCGAATTTCTCCCACTTACTTCCTCCACTGCATCTTGGACTGGGCAGGCAACCCGCTGGTCACCTCTGGTGGGGTGGTGTCGAGGGAGGCGTGAAGCTCATCTCCTGTGGCACAGTCCCCAGGACAGGAGGGGCCTGGCTGCTGTCCGGGAGGTTCTGAGTTGCCAAGGTGCTACACCTGCCTGACAAGGTGGCACACGCAGGCCTGGCCCCTGCCCAGAGAGCCTGCAGGGATGCCAGCCGCCCAGCACTGCACTGTCAGTTCCAGTACCGATGCCCGTGGTGCTGGTCGCAGCCTTCCAGGCCAGTCTGAACCCAGATGTCCACCCACACTGGAGTTTTGCCCTTTGTCGGTTCTTGGGAAGCGATTTGAAAAGCGATGAGGGCTCGTCCCTCCTTTTGTCCTGCCTCTGCACTTGTCTGAAGCTTTTGTCAAAAGCTGAGAAAGGGGGTTGGGGGAGATCAGAGTGGACACCCCAACTGTGAAGGCACCTACCGTTGTTCTCGTGTACTGTTGGGCCACAGAAGGCCCCAGAGAGTGGAGGGGGTCCCGCATCGCAGTGCCTGGAAGGGAGGCCGGTGTGTCCGCCCAGGGAGCAGCAGGCGGAGGGGTCAGAAAGGGGTCCCCAGTGCTGCAGTCTGGGAAAACGGAAAGCGAGAGTGTGAAACCTAAAACCGCCTCACACTGGCTGGACGTGGCGGCCCACAAAGGTCGGCCTATGTACTGAGTTTCACTAAGCATCTAAAATGTTAGCTCTAATGGGGCTGGAGCAATAGCACAGCGGGGAGTCCCCTTGCATGCGGCCGACCCAGGTTCGATTCCCAGCATCCCATATGGTCCCCTGAGCATCGCCAGGATTGATTCCTGAGTGCAGAGCCAGGAGGAACCCCTGAGCATTGCTGGGTGTGACCCAAAAAACCAACTAACGAACAAACAAAAAATGTCAGCTACTGTTTTACTAAGTTTGACATGTACTAAGCTAAATAGGGACCAGAGGAAAACAGGCAGGGTGAAGAAGTGGCCCCAGGGGGAAGTTTCTAGAAGGGAAGCAGGACACACAGAGGAGAACCCTCTCAAACATGTTGCCCTCCCTGGCCCTGTTCTTCCCACTTTGAACATCTTTCTCCAGTGCAGAACGCCCCATCCCCCAGTCACAAGGTTATGAGAGGGAAGGTTCTTCCCAGAAGCAGGCTGTAGGCACTGTGCGTGCGAGAGTGGGTGAGGGGTGGGAGGCCTTCTGATGCTCTGAATTCAGTAGAAGCTTCCAGCTGGAGACGGTGGGAGTCATGTCGGAGGTGAAGCAGGGATACCCACTGGGGGGAACTTCCCGAATCAGTTGCAGAAGCAGCAAAGAGGAGAACTAAGGAAAGAGCACTGGGAAGCATTCTTGTTTACGATGTGGGTCTGAGGAGCGGAACTGCAAAGAACATTTGCATCCTACGTGGCCCTTGGCACAGAGTAGGTCTTCGTGAATTAAATATACATATTTTCACACACAAACCCTAGAATTAGGACATTATATTAGATTCAAGTGTGCCTCATGGCATTTGCCGTATTGATTTCACCCACAAATCACAGTTCTAAGATGACGTGATTTTAAAAGGGATGTGAAAACATCAAAGGTATAGGCAGTTTCAAGCTGGAGAAAAAGGTCGACAGAGACATTATTAAAATTGAAATGTGGGCCAGGGCGATAGCACAACAGTTGGGAGGCCTGCCTTGCTTACAGCTAACCCAGTTTGATTCTTGGTACCCCGTATGGTCCTTGGAACACCACCAGGAGTGATCCCTGGGACAGAGCCAGGAAAAACTCCTGAGCACTGATGGGGTGGCACAAGAACAAACACAAAAAACCTGAAATGTGAAGCAAGAGAAGAACAACATTATTATATTTGTCAATCCCAAGACAGCGATGGCCTTTGGGGTTTTGTTTGTTTGTTTGTTTGTTGTTGTAAAAAATGAACTCTCAGAATAAAAGGTGTGTGTTATTTGTGTGGAGTTAATACAAAGATTCTGTACTGAGTATAAATGATAAAGCATTAGGTTAGGATAGAGGGAAATTTTTCTTCTGTAGATGATAACCCAGCACAAGTTTTCGTTCATTTTGACATGGTACCTGTGTCGTGGTGAGCTCAGGTTCTTGTCCTCAGGTAGTCAAGATTGAAAGCAGGGGACTGGAGGTGCCAAATCCAGTAGCAACTTTATTTATTGTAAAAAAGGAAGGGAAGGGTAGGGGAAGCCGGAGAGTGGGGTCTGCCGAAGTAGGATGCCCTTGGACCAGGGAGAAGCTTCCCTCTTGTACTCTGTGACTGGGGAATGGAGCGTTCTGCGTTGGGGAAGGATGCGCAAGGTGGAGAGACCAAGGGGCAGGAAGGTGGCATGCTTGGGAGGGTTCTCCTCTGCGTATCCTGCTTTCCTTCTAGAAACTTCCCCTGGGGCCACTCCTTCACCCTGACTGTTTTCCTCTGGTCCCTATTTAGTTTAGCACATTTGAAACTTAGTAAAATAGTAGCTGGCATTTTAGATGTTTAGTGACACTTCATAAATAGGCCTACCTTGCTCAGATCCAAAGACTGAAAGAAAATGAATGGGAACTTGCAGTGAGGTCCAAGGAGTAGGATAGAGGTATATTTAAGTC